TATATAGTATAGGTATCCGTTTTATTTATTTGTGCCGTCCCCATTGTATGTCTGATTAACACCTAGAACGAATCGAAGAAACACAAATCCAAATGCGAATAAGTGAATAAAGAGAGCTGTCCGTCGACAGTCCAGAAACCATTTAATAACACTGTCATGGAATTGCTCTCTTTGTATAATATTCGACGTTGCGCTATGAGACTAACTAACCCACTAAACCCCAGTTTGTCTGGCCTAACCTGTCCGTTGTCCCCCTGTCTGTTCTGTTGAGGTGCTCCTGCTCCTGATCCTCCGCGAATAGTGAAATGAAGAGAGCTATCCGTCGACAGTCAAGTTAAAACTGATTGTAATACTGTCATGGAATTGCTCTCTTTGTATAACATTCGAAAGGCGACGATGATATCGGTGTGCTTAACTATTAATAGTTTAAAGCAAAACCTGTAAGCGTCCTCCGGTTATGGTGTTTAATCCTTCCCACCTTGCAGGGTATTACTTAGAAACCAAACAGAATGCGTTTTCAAATTCAAGTTTCTTTGTATTCTTGGCTCTCCTGCCTGGTAAACACTTTACAAAAAATCTGGAGATAATTCAACCCGCCCGCTAATAAAATAGTGCCCGCAACTTAGAGATTAGAAATGCGTTGTTCAGGAGGCGGTTCCTACAGGCCGCCGCGTCCCCGTCCGCCGGTTGGTCCTCCTTGCCAGGCTCCGCGTCCGCCGCTGCCGCCTGGTGCTCCTGGCGGTCCGCCACTGCCCCTTCCTCCACCTGGCGGCCCGCCTCTTCCTCTGCCACGAGCTATAAGGGGATTTCACAATTAGTATTTGTAGCTGGTCGATTGCTTATACAACACAAGACTGTCTTTAAAAATAAAGAATTTATTAAATGCGATAATTGGATTACTAATTTTCTGGCCTGCAAATATATTTCTTGCTTTTTATAAATTAAAAAAATCTCTAAAAACTTCACAAACTTCACTGCTACTTATTTTTATAACGAAATTCTTGGATTAATTGTTAGTTTCTTTTTCAAATTTGTATGAATCAAATAGATTGTGATTTTCCTTTTGAATTAACTGGTTTCATTAAATGGAAATTTGATTTTTGGACTATTTTAAATTTGTAAGTCCAACGTTTTTCTATTTTTTAAAATATGGAAACATGTTCTGATCTTGCAAAACCAAATCCTGCAATTAATAAAGGCTCTTATTTGTTATTTGAGAATTATAGGAACAATTATTTACTCTCAGTATACAACTGCTTCTCCTTCCTGTATTATTTTACAAGCATTTTATACTCCGACTAAGGCTTTCCTAATTCTCTTATTTCTAATTTACTTTATCCTCGTGTATTTGGATAGCCTTACACATAATAATAGAATATTTTACACAAACAATTTGTGTTTTCACTAAGATTTTTCTGCATAATTTATCAATAGCTATTTCACTAGCCACTTATGAATTAAAATCACTTTCCGTGTTCAAGAAATGGATCTCTAGCTATACGGAAAATCTTCTAAATGATGTATGATAGAACAAAAATCGCAATTTTCTTTTAAAAGACAGTCTTGTGAATTGTACGTGGGCCCAAGTGCCCGACTCACCCTGTGCGCGCAGAATGGCCGCCTTGCCCCTGCCCGCCGTCCCGCCGAGGCCCTTGCCCGTCTGCTTCTTGAACATCGGGGCGTTCTTGAGCATGTCGGGCAGTATGAGGAAGCGGATCTTGGAGCCGCGGATGTAGACGTTCTCCAGGTTGGCGGTGCGTCCGTCGCGGTAGGTGACCGTGATCTGGGTCATCTGGCAATTCATGTTGTCCTCCGCTTCGATGAGCTTGCCGCGGTACACCTCGCCGGTGATTGTCTCGCAAGTGATTATGTGGCCCTCGGCCTCGTGCAGCACTTTGATGGGTACTCCGATCGACATGTTGGCTGCGTTTTTATTTAGTTTTTCAGCTAGTTATTATTGATTTTACACGGTTTTTTTTCCGACGCCGCTAAATTTCTTCTCCCGTTTTTCTTTTGCGCAAACGTTTGTGTCGAGAGTCTGTATGTGTGTGTGCGAGTGAGCCGCTTTGACAGCTGCCGGCGGCCATCTTGTGGTGAAATTGCCGCGTGAGCCCAGGGCTGCATGCGCCGCGTGACTATCGGTTTTTGTTTATCGGTCTCCCGATAAGGCGCGCGCTATCTTATCGCTTTAAAATAAACACCAGCCATTTGGTACGTCACAAAAGCGAGATAAATTAATTGTCCCCGCTCTGCTGTTGATAAGCCCTTTGTTCTGCCTTCGTGGCCATCAGTTAGTTAGCAGCTTTTGCGACGTTCACCCATCAATTGAGTTTTCTCTACCACCATGCTTTGGTAAATTTTCAAAATCACCTGAAGTTAATTTAATATCGCTTTAGTTGGAATAGAATTTTAAACCCACTTGGAGTAATTAAAAAAAAGTGGTTTATTCAGTAGTACAAACATTTTAATTAAATAAATCTAATAAGTTCACCTAACCTAGGAAAGAAAGTACACATTTTTAGAATGATTTAAGGTGTCGAGTGGTTTGGAATATTAAGAAGTCCGTTATTAGCCATCATTTGAAAAGTATTCTAGGGAGAGGCTCTACAAAATCGAGCAGGCACCACCCAGCTCAAAATGGATTTCTAACTAAACAAACAATTATTCTTTCCCACAGCGACCCAGTGTTTAGTAGTGGCTTCGTTAGAAGAGAATTTAATGACAGCGGAATTGCCGATGGCAAACTCCGCACCATCTCGACTTCGTCTTGCGCCACGACCATGTCATCGGATTCCTACCGCATCTCTCTCGGCGTAGGGCCTCTGTGGTGGTCCTGATGTCCCTGTCCACCACAGAACAGATCACGATAGGGCATCGCTCTTAACGGGTAAGTTACAGAGTATATCTTAACGGGATAACACCATTCTATAATATTATTATTTATTTCCTCCCCTTAGGCTACAGCCGTAAGTCTTCGGTCGACTCGGCTGGTGGCAGCCTGTACGAGGCCAGCTCCCGGGCGTCGTCGTTGTCGTCCTCCCAGTCGGATTGCTCCGACTTGGAGTCGCAACCCGACATCCATTCGCTGTGCTCGGACGATGACTGCCAGGAAGTGCTGCGCCAGATCTTGCAGCACGACCAGCCGGTGCAGATCACCATCAAACTGCACGTGACCGAGGACCAGTACACCAATTGGAATATGATTCTGAACCCAGTCAACAACTTGTTGTATGTCGCTCTGCCGAAGGACCTTCCGCCGGCCGGCTCCAAGCAGACCTTCATCTCGCTCTTGGAGTTCGCCGAGGATAAGCTGGAGGTGGACGGCATCGTTATGGTCATGCCTAAGGATCAGCCAGAGCGGGCTCGCCTCGTCGAGGCATTCCTGTTCATGGGCTTCGAGCCGCTGTCCAGGAAGGCACCGCAGGCACCACCGGCCGCCATTAACGACAATGAGAACCACTATTTCTTTTATAACATCGAGGAGTAGTTTGACGGCAAGGGGACGATTTTCGTTACAAAAACGATAAAGAAGAAGATTAATCAGTAACAATCCAGTATACTGTCCGTAGTTTCCGCAAATAACTTTTATTAGCTCACCTTAAATCCAATGACATGTTGACCCCAATGTGTTCAGTGAAATGCAAATCAACCTATTTAAATCTTCGCGTTTACGTAGTCGAAAATCGTTTAGAAATTGTCTTTGAAGCGGCTTCATTTATTGGTAGAATTTCAACTTTGGCCAGCCACGTTAAGAGCCTGATCGCAAATTACTATATTAATCTATATCGAGAAAAATTGATGAAAATGTAAAAAAAAGTATATAACTAGAAAATGTAAAAAAAAATGTATTTATCCTAAGTTTATTCGTGAATCAATATTTTGTATTTTTATGTTTTCGCTTTTGTTGTAATCACAATATTTCTTTTCATGTTTTTCTATATTTTATATTAAGGCTTATATATGATGTATCGTAACCCCAATTGTTTCAAACTAGAAAATATTATATACACTTATATTTTATTCACTTTTTGTATGCCTAATGCGATGAAAAAGTAAGAGTAGAAAAGTTGGAGGATAGAAAGGGAAACACATATTCATAAAAGCTATTTCACATACGCCAGCAAAACATCCATATACACAGGATATCCAATATTAATAAACTTATTAATCAATAGATTCCACACCACGCAAGCAAACGGAAGCAATTCTTTTATTTATTCCACTTTGATGTATAATTTTTTGATTCCAATAATAAAACATATGACTTAACAAAATTACTAAAGTGTCGCCCTGATTATTAAAATTATTTTGGCTTTGCCATATAAAGGCAATGCGCATTATTATTGTTTTCAAATATCTCGAGTGGAACACGGCTGAGACTCATGATAAAGTTTATAGCCAAGATTGCCCTTCCCTTCCTTTTTTTAAGATAAGAGAAATGTCCGATACTTTATCGTTGTTTATAAACTGACCCAATCTGATTGTATTTTAAAAAGATAACAATGGGCTCCTTATAGACTGCTAAAAACTTTTAAAAGTACATAATGGTCTTATCAGTAATGAAGAGAGACTATAGAACTATGACAATGGGAGTTATTTGTCATTTGTGATAATGGGAATTTTATAACCTCAGTTTATAGAGTACTGGAGAGGGGAGGTTCGAGTTCAGAGATTCGGGAATAGCTAAAAATTAATTTAATGAGATTGGAGTAAACTAATGGGAATTTTGGATAGTGTTATATATATTATATCCCAGTCAGTTATTTTAGTTATTTGAAATAGGGATCACACTAAAAATAGGGGCGGTGTGCCTTTAGTTATTGATTAGCTTATCTCTACTATACGTCTGATTCAGAGCGTTTATCGGCTATTGGTCATTCAGTTGGACATTGTTTTTTATAAGCTTGATCAAATTTAAAATTATTAACCAATTCTTCGGGTACTTGAAAAGCTTCAAGTCTTTCCCAGCTAATCTCAGCTTGGAAATCATTCAACAGCTGTTCATGCTCACCGTCGGTACGTCTCTTCGCTTAATGGGCGATAAAACTATGGAGCACTTAAAAGCAAAAAATATATACCCATCTATGTGATGATATAGGGGCTAGGAGCATATAAACGAAGAGATAACGATATAAACAGCGGCGGAAGAGGCTCCGAAAAACAGTCGAGTCTGGAACGTCGCTGAGTTTACACGAACGAACCGAAAGCTTTTGTAGAGCACCAAAGTCAATATCCCGGAGTTATCATGTTGAAGGCGGTGAGTGTGGTTCCAAGGGGCGGAAATTATCTTATCGGCTGTTCAGATATGATAGACAGTTGGTTTAATTCAATTTACTTTCAATCCCCTTTAATTATGTTTAACCCATTTGCCTTGATTGCCCCGGATGGCCAATGCAGATTATTGTATTTGCCACTATTTTGGTGGCCGTGGCCTTGGCCATGCAGCCCCTGGAGGATAATGAGAGACACCACCACCTAAACCACAAGCACCAGTTGACCCAGCACCACCATAAGTTACAGGAGCCGAGGCACTCGGCCAAGGAGCACACCAAACATGGAAAGGAGGTGCACCACATTGATTCCCACCTTAAGGAGCACAAAGACCATGGCCATGGAAAATCGACCTCCCAAAGGAACAGTAGACAGGCCAATAAGAAGGAGCAGAGTTATAAGAAGAGTCACCATCAAAAGGAGCACCACAAGCACGTGGACAACCACGCCCGGAAAGCCCGATCCCATTCAAAAGGCAGCCAACACCACAGCAAGAGACACACGGGACATCGCCACTAGGGAAGATATGTCACTAGGACATATCCTATTTAAATCCTAACTTATGTGTATGTAAGCTGTATTAAAGTCAAGCCCACATAAATTCCAAATACAGTATGCATTTGTATTATTCAATTTAACTCCCAAAAGTATTGAAAGAACAGATTTTTTAAGAATAATTTGTGAACTAAAAGCCATGACCAAATAAACTGAAATTTTATGAATGATTTTACTCAAGAAAGATGTTATATTTTTATAAATGGGCAATTAAAACATGATATAATATTAAATATTTTCAAACTATATATCTAAAACTTCCAAAAATGGTCACCTTTTAATGGACAAACTTTATAAGAACTAGAAAATAATGTCAAGTCACAATAGATTTATTCCGAAGACCTGTTTATTTAAAGGTTAGCAAAGAGTGGTTCCTAAAAATCATATGCTGATCTGCTAACCGATATTCACTGTACAGTCCAGCTCTTTCAGTGACCTCGTTTATGGCCAAAAAGTTGAGATTGTGTGGATCGTTTAAGATAGGCCCAAGAGTCCAGGTCGGCGGTTCAGATGTGTAATTACGCTTGGCCAACTCGGTATTTTGCTCCACTATGTTACGTTAGCCGCCTCAATTTCTTCGGAAGCCCCGACCAAGTCTCAAAAATCAGGTTTTAGACAATTGAAATTTGAAAATAATAAACCGCATATGCGAACGTACTCGTACATAAAGTGTTTTGTTTTTTATTGCAATAAAACCGGTGTTAATTGTGGTCTGGGGTCAAAAACTCCAATGACGTCATCGTAATGGTTGCAAAACAGTGAAAGGGTTCATTTTCAAAAGGGGGCTTGTATAATTTCTTTGGTTAATAGTGCAATTACATACATAGGGTTTTGTGCTTTAGGAACGTAAGTTAGGAAAAGTAGTGGTACTTTATTTAACCCCACACAGGGTAAATTCGCGGACGGTAGAAGCCGCCTCCGTAACTGCGATATCCGCCGTAACCGCCATATCCAGAGTAACCTCCGTATTTATAGCCCCCACCATAACCGCCGTAATAAACAGGGGATGGAGCCGCATAGTATCCGTAACCAAAGGAATCGGCAGTGGAAAGATCACTATCCTCAGCAGCTTTTTTGTCCTAAAAAACATTATTTCTTAAATTAGTAGGGATTTTAAAAACCCAAAAATATAACCTACCTCTATAGGTCCTGCAGCTATAGATCCAATAATAACCAGGCACAAAAGGATGGAAAATAACTGAAAAAGTTTCACAACATTTCATTATTCTAATAAATCAGAACAAATTCGCTTTGTAACCAGTACCTTTGCCATTGTATTGATCTTATTTGTGAAATTTCACGGGGAAATACTTGAGATTTATATTTTCCTCTCGAATTAGCAACTTTTCCCGGTCGTGTTCTTGCTAGAAGCGTTGTAGTCCGTAAACTGTGATCCCCAAATGGCCGACCGACAATATTTATAGTGGCCAAAACATCCCGGAGATCGATTTCGCACATGATCATTGATTGGACAAACATTCTGGAGTCTGGGGAAGTCGTTACCCGATGGAAAATGAGGTGGCCCCACATCAGGTTCGTGCTGATGACTCGATTTGATTTTCTAATTAGGTTATTTGAAGGTAAAAAACATGATTTTAATAAATATGTTCATGTTCATATAAATACTACGAAAGGTACGGTAAATATCAGTAAGGAGCTATAAAAACTTGGATAAATGAACTTTTGAATTAAAACCTTTGATAATAATTTTCTTAGCTAATGTCTACTGTATGGGTGAAATTACCAGTCATCAAAAATAATATTGACGCACTAACTTAAAAAGTTCCTAATAAACTCTATTCACACATTCGCTGACCAGCTGATTCATTTTACTTAATTACAAGGATTCAAAACAAATTCAATATGTATATGAAGTGGGGATTCCCTTTCAAAAACCCATTATTGTTTAATACAAATATATAAAAAGTTTTGGGGCCACAAAATGTAAGTAGTTTAAATAATCATTAGTATACTAGTAAATCATATAAGAAATAGGAAATAAAATATAATATTCCTCTTTAAACAAAGAATATTTATGAAGCTTTAAATCGAAACTAATATAAATAAAATCTGATAATTATAAATATTTATTGTTATTTAATATTGTTTGTTTTAAAAAATGTTTATTGTTGGATTTGAAAATTTATATTTCAAACGATTTATCGCACTCCCTCCGTTGCTATCTTGATTTATCATGCGGCATTATTAAGTGGCATCTCTAGATTTTGTCCAGTATGACCGTACTTACATGAAAAAATAAATGGCTGCCGCATGAAAAAGTAAACGTTTTCGCATTGCAAACCGGAAAAATTGAGAATTGCGGCAAAAGAAACATACTAAAAGTGAAGAATAGGTAATAAAGTTATTAATTAACGAACAAACAAGAAATTAAAGCAAAGTTTTGCTGTGGGGAGAGTGAAATAAAGGCCTTTTTGCGGCGTGGTGAAAATTGCAAAAGACCGCGACGTCGGCGGCATTCCGATTTCGATTTCTCCCTTGTTCACCGAACAAAACGTGTCTGTGTGTCATAAAGTATACATTTTTCCACTTATTGATTAGGACAAGTGCAGCGGAACGATGTCCATTCCGCCGTACATGATACCGCAGAATGCGTGGGCGGCGCAGCTGATGGCCCAGCAGGCGTACGCGGCGGCCCATGCTCAGCAGGCCCAGCTGCATGCCCAGCAGCAGATGGCCAACCAGATCCAGCAGATTCCGCCGCCGGGAGCTCCCCTTCCGCCGCCCACTGGCCATCCCAACGGGATTCCCATTCCGGCAGGCGGCCAGGGACCCGGACTGGGCCAGATTCCCACTCCCAAGCCGGACATCCTCACCGAGGAGAAGCTGCAGGAGAAGGCGCTCAAATGGCAGCATCTGCAATCCAAGCGGTTCGCCGAGAAGCGCAAGTTTGGATTCGTGGACACCCAGAAGGAGGACATGCCGCCGGAGCACATTCGGAAGATCATTCGGGATCACGGCGACATGACCTCGCGCAAATACCGCCACGACAAGCGAGTCTATCTGGGCGCACTAAAGTACATGCCGCATGCGGTGCTTAAGCTGCTGGAGAACATGCCCATGCCCTGGGAGCAGATCCGGGATGTCCAGGTGCTGTACCACATTACGGGAGCCATCACCTTTGTCAATGAGATTCCCTGGGTCGTTGAGCCTGTCTACATCGCCCAATGGGGGTAAGTTTGCTATAGTTCTTCCACGTGATCCCATCTGAACTGGTTTGCTTTTCTCTAGAACCATGTGGATCATGATGCGACGTGAGAAGCGCGATCGTCGTCACTTCAAGCGAATGAGATTCCCGCCCTTCGACGATGAGGAGCCGCCTCTAGACTATGCCGACAACGTTCTCGATGTGGAGCCCTTGGAGGCCATTCAAATCGAGCTGGACAATGATGAAGACAATGCCGTGTACAAATGGTTTTACGATCATCGTCCTCTAGTGGATACGCAGTGAGTTTTGAACTAGGAATTAAATTTAAACTTGGTTGTTAATATGTATATCCATGTTAGGTTTGTAAACGGCACCACCTACCGCAAGTGGAATCTTTCCCTGCCCCAGCTAGCCACTCTTTATCGGCTGGCCAATCAACTGCTCACGGACCTGGTGGACAACAACTTCTTTTACCTATTTGACCCCAAAAGTTTCTTCACCGCCAAGGCCCTAAATATGGCCATTCCAGGTGGTCCCAAGTTTGAACCCCTCATCAAAGATCACAATGTTGGGTAAGGACAACCCCCGCATCAAAAGCCTGATCGAGGTGTAACCTTATTTATACTTTTCTAGGGACGAGGATTGGAACGAGTTCAACGACATAAATAAAGTCATTATCCGTCAACCCATTCGCACAGAATATCGCATTGCCTTTCCCTACTTGTACAACAACATGCCACACTTTGTGCATCTGAGCTGGTAAGATTCCATATTCTACTGAAATTATTAATCTAAAATCTTATTTACGTGGTAGTAACGTTTCCATGTGAACATCCTCCCTGGAAATGCTTCATGTCGCGTTAGAAAAACGTCGAGCTCCCAGCTTACTACAAATTTTGCGATAATCGGGAGCTGCAATGATATGTTCGTGGCGATTGTTAAGAATAAATCGTGACTGCTGATAGTTGCATACATATTAGTTTGCTTGAACCTAAGTGTATCCAAATAACCAATGTCCTTTATCAATTTCAGGTATCACACTCCCAACGTGGTCTACATCAAGACCGAAGATCCCGATTTGCCGGCATTTTATTTTGATCCGCTCATCAATCCCATATCCCATCGCAATGCGAACTCAAAAATTCAGGAGCCACTGCCTGATGATGATGAGGATTTCACACTTCCAGACGATGTGCAGCCGTTCCTAGTGGACACTCCCCTCTATACTGACAATACTGCGAACGGTATTGCCTTGTTGTGGGCCCCTCGCCCCTTTAACATGCGCTCTGGTCGCTCCCGCCGTGCCATCGACGTGCCCTTAGTTAAGTGCTGGTACAAGGAGCATTGTCCTCCTGGCCACCCGGTCAAGGTGCGCGTTAGCTACCAAAAACTACTGAAATACTATGTGCTTAATGCGCTGAAGCACCGCAAGCCAAAGCCCCAGAAGAAGCGGTTAGTTCTATCGGTATCAAACAATCGAGCTCTTCTAATTATTTATTTCATCCTTGCAGCTACCTCTTCCGTTCGTTCAAGGCTACAAAATTCTTCCAGACCACCACCCTGGATTGGGTGGAGGCTGGATTGCAGGTTTGCCGTCAGGGATACAACATGCTGAACCTCTTGATTCACAGAAAGAACCTTAACTACTTGCATTTGGATTACAATTTCAACTTGAAGCCTGTCAAAACTCTAACCACCAAAGAGCGTAAAAAGTCACGTTTCGGAAACGGTAAGTCCATTTTTACCGCAAATTTTGATAGTAATTAATGACCCATGATTTTCCCTTATTAGCCTTCCATTTGTGTCGTGAGATCCTGCGTCTGACCAAGCTAATTATTGACTCTCATGTTCAGTATCGGCTGAACAATGTGGACGCCTTTCAGTTGGCCGACGGACTGCAGTACATATTCGCCCACGTTGGCCAGCTGACTGGCATGTATCGCTACAAATACAAGCTGATGAGGCAGATTCGAATGTGTAAGGATCTGAAGCATTTGATCTACTACCGCTTCAACACAGGACCTGTGGGCAAAGGACCCGGATGTGGCTTTTGGGCGCCCGGTTGGCGAGTTTGGCTGTTCTTTATGCGTGGTATCACACCGTTGCTGGAACGCTGGCTGGGCAACCTGCTGTCGCGTCAATTCGAGGGACGACACTCCAAGGGTGTGGCTAAGACGGTGACCAAACAGCGCGTCGAATCCCACTTCGATCTGGAATTGCGTGCCTCCGTAATGCACGACATTGTGGACATGATGCCCGAAGGTATCAAGCAGAACAAGGCGCGTACCATTTTGCAGCATCTGTCGGAGGCTTGGCGTTGCTGGAAGGCGAACATTCCCTGGAAAGTACCCGGCCTGCCCATTCCCATTGAGAATATGATCCTGCGTTACGTTAAGATGAAGGCCGATTGGTGGACGAACACGGCTCACTACAATCGAGAGCGTATCCGACGTGGAGCCACTGTGGACAAGACCGTGTGCAAGAAGAATCTTGGCCGGTTGACACGTCTTTACTTGAAGGCGGAGCAGGAAAGGCAGCACAACTACTTAAAGGATGGTCCGTACATATCACCGGAGGAGGCAGTGGCCATATACACCACCACTGTCCATTGGCTGGAGTCGCGGCGCTTTGCGCCCATTCCCTTCCCTCCGCTCTCGTACAAGCACGACACAAAGCTCCTGATCTTGGCCCTCGAGCGGTTGAAGGAGGCGTACAGCGTCAAGTCTAGGTTAAATCAAAGTCAGCGCGAGGAGCTGGGTCTCATTGAACAGGCCTACGACAATCCTCACGAGGCCTTGTCCCGCATCAAGCGTCACTTGCTCACGCAGCGAGCTTTCAAGGAGGTTGGTTAATTACAATCCGTATTTGTTGAGTCCCACGTAACAAGTTTTCTTTGAATTTTAGGTGGGCATTGAGTTCATGGACTTGTACAGTCATCTGATACCTGTGTATGAGGTTGAACCCCTGGAGAAGATTACAGATGCATATCTGGATCAGTATCTGTGGTACGAGGCAGATAAGCGACGACTGTTCCCGCCATGGATCAAGCCCAGCGATACAGAGCCTCCGCCATTGTTGGCCTACAAGTGGTGTCAAGGTAAGGATCTGGATAAGATTCGAAAAATATAACTTTTCAGCACTGGGCATTTTGGGTGTGTGATTTGTAGCAAAGTGATATGTATTTGATCATCCCCTTGTTGCAAACCTCACGCCAAAGATGTCTCCGTAAAACAACAACCAAATTAAAATCACAGTTATGAAATTATAAGTATTTATGTTATCCCCCGTTTAATTTAGTTAAAACGTATTATTTTCCATAACAGGCATTAACAACCTGCAGGATGTTTGGGATGTGGGTGAGGGCGAGTGCAATGTGCTGCTAGAGTCTCGATTCGAAAAGCTGTACGAGAAGATTGACTTGACGCTACTTAATCGTTTGCTCCGCCTCATCGTCGATCACAATATCGCTGATTACATGACCGCCAAGAACAACGTGGTTATCAACTACAAGGACATGAACCACACTAACAGTTACGGCATCATTCGCGGCCTGCAGTTCTCATCATTCATCACCCAGTACTATGGCCTGGTGTTGGATCTTTTGGTTCTGGGTCTTCACCGATCCAGCGAGATGGCTGGTCCGCCACAAATGCCCAACGATTTCCTGACGTTCCAGGACGCAGTTACAGAAACGGCTCATCCGATTCGACTGTATTGTCGCTACGTCGATCGAATTCACCTGTTCTTCAGGTTCTCGGCGGAGGAGGCCCGAGATCTCATCCAGCGCTACCTTACCGAGCATCCGGATCCTAACAACGAAAACATTGTGGGTTACAACAACAAGAAGTGCTGGCCACGCGATGCTCGCATGCGTTTGATGAAGCACGATGTCAATCTGTAGGTTTTCCTTTTGATCAAAAATGTGAAGTTTTTAAGTGTTGACGAATATTTTCTTTTCTTTTTTAGCGGTCGCGCTGTCTTCTGGGACATTAAAAACCGTCTACCTCGCTCTGTTACCACTATTGGTTGGGAGAGCACCTTCGTCTCGGTGTACTCCAAAGACAATCCCAATCTGTTGTTCAACATGAGTGGATTTGAGTGTCGCATTTTGCCAAAGGTTCCTTAAGCCAGAACTTGATTGTAAGATCAGTTTATAATTTTACGTTTTCCCCCACAGTGTCGCACCCAAAATGAAGAGTTTACCCATCGTGATGGCGTTTGGAACTTACAGAACGAAATTACAAAGGAGCGCACGGCTCAGTGCTTCCTGCGGGTGGACGATGAGTCGCTGGGGCGCTTCCACAATCGTGTGCGACAGATTCTGATGGCTTCCGGCTCCACTACCTTCACAAAGGTGGGCTAAAACCTATAATATATTCCTGAAGACTTTAAGTAATAACACAATATACCATTTCCAGATTGTGAATAAATGGAATACGGCGCTCATAGGTCTGATGACATACTTCCGCGAGGCTGTGGTCAATACCCAGGAACTGCTGGACTTACTGGTCAAGTGCGAGAATAAAATCCAGACCCGTATCAAGATTGGTCTCAACTCCAAAATGCCCTCCCGTTTCCCGCCAGTTGTGTTCTACACTCCCAAGGAACTTGGCGGTCTGGGAATGTTGAGCATGGGTCACGTCTTGATTCCGCAATCCGATCTGCGTTGGTCGAAGCAAACTGATGTGGGCATAACCCATTTCCGCTCCGGTTGGTTTTAAGCAGTGTATAATTATAGGATGTGTTTATAACGTATACTTTTGGTTTCTTACAGGTATGTCCCACGATGAGGATCAGCTTATTCCTAATTTATATCGGTACATACAGCCGTGGGAGAGTGAGTTCATCGACTCGCAGCGCGTGTGGGCCGAGTATGCGCTGAAGCGTCAGGAGGCGAATGCCCAGAACCGTAGGCTCACTCTGGAAGATCTGGAAGACAGCTGGGATCGTGGTATTCCCCGTATCAACACACTCTTCCAAAAGGATCGTCACACACTGGCCTATGACAAGGGCTGGCGCATACGAACCGAGTTCAAGCAGTACCAGGTACTGAAGCAGAATCCCTTCTGGTGGACTCACCAACGTCACGACGGCAAGCTGTGGAACTTGAACAACTACAGAACGGACATGATCCAGGCCCTTGGCGGAGTGGAGGGCATTCTTGAGCATACATTGTTCAAGGGCACCTACTTCCCCACTTGGGAAGGTCTTTTCTGGGAGAAGGCCTCCGGCTTTGAGGAGTCGATGAAGTACAAGAAGCTGACCAATGCTCAGCGATCCGGTCTTAACCAGATTCCGAATCGTCGCTTCACACTGTGGTGGTCGCCGACCATCAATCGTGCAAACGTTTACGTCGGTTTCCAGGTGCAGCTCGATCTGACGGGTATTTTCATGCACGGAAAGATTCCCACGCTAAAGATCTCGCTGATTCAGATCTTCCGAGCCCATTTGTGGCAGAAGATCCACGAGTCGATTGTGATGGATCTGTGTCAGGTGTTCGATCAGGAACTGGATGCTTTGGAAATCGAGACGGTGCAAAAGGAGACGATCCATCCGCGCAAGTCCTACAAGATGAACTCTTCTTGTGCGGACATCTTGCTCTTCCCCGCCTACAAATGGAATGTGTCGCGGCCCTCACTGCTGGCCGATACCAAGGACACCATGGACAACACCACCACGCAGAAGTACTGGCTGGATATCCAGTTGCGATGGGGCGATTACGATTCCCACGACGTGGAACGCTATGCGAGGGCCAAGTTCCTCGACTACACGACGGACAACATGTCCATCTATCCGTCGCCCACGGGCGTGTTGATAGCCATCGATTTGGCCTACAATCTGCACTCTGCCTACGGCAATTGGTTCCCGGGCTGCAAGACCCTTATCCAGCAGGCCATGGCCAAAATCATGAAGGCGAATCCCGCGCTATATGTGCTGCGTGAACGTATCCGCAAGGCCCTGCAGCTTTACTCCTCGGAGCCTACGGAGCCGTACCTCAGTTCGCAGAACTACGGAGAGCTGTTCTCCAACCAAATCATCTGGTTTGTGGACGACACCAACGTGTACCGCGTCACAATCCATAAAACATTCGAGGGAAATCTGACAACGAAGCCAATTAACGGAGCCATCTTCATCTTTAATCCGCGAACTGGTCAGCTCTTCCTGAAAATCATTCACACCTCTGTGTGGGCAGGTCAGAAGCGTCTGGGTCAGCTGGCCAAGTGGAAGACTGCTGAAGAAGTGGCCGCTCTAATTCGATCGTTGCCTGTGGAGGAGCAGCCCAAACAAATCATTGTGACGCGTAAGGGCATGTTGGATCCATTGGAGGTGCACTTGCTCGACTTCCCCAACATTGTGATCAAGGGCTCTGAGCTGCAACTGCCCTTCCAGGCTTGCCTTAAAGTGGAGAAGTTTGGTGACCTGATTCTCAAGGCTACCGAGCCTCAGATGGTGCTCTTCAATCTGTACGACGATTGGTTGAAGACTATTTCGTCATACACGGCCTTCAGTCGACTTATCCTCATTCTTCGTGCTCTCCACGTCAATACGGAAAGGACAAAGATCATCCTGAAACCGGATAAGACCACAATCACAGAGGCGCATCATATTTGGCCCACTCTGACGGATGAGGAATGGATCAAGGTTGAGGTTCAGCTTAAGGACCTTATTCTCGCCGATTATGGCAAGAAGAACAACGTGAATGTGGCCTCACTGACGCAGTCCGAGATTCGTGACATCATCCTTGGTATGGAGATTAGCGCTCCGTCGGCGCAGCGCCAACAGATCGCCGAGATCGAGAAGCAGACGAAGGAGCAGAATCAACTGACTGCCACCACTACGCGTACCACAAACAAGCACGGTGATGAAATTATCACCTCTACCACATCCAATTACGAGACGCAGACGTTCAGTTCGAAGACAGAGTGGCGAGTCAGAGCGATTTCCGCCACCAATCTGCACCTGCGAACGAATCACATTTATGTGAGCTCTGACGACATCAAGGAAACTGGCTACACCTACATCCTGCCCAAGAACATACTCAAAAAGTTTGTTACTATCTCGGATTTGCGGGCCCAGATTGCGGGCTACTTGTATGGCGTGAGTCCGCCGGACAACCCACAAGTGAAGGAGATCCGCTGCATCGTAATGCCGCCGCAGTGGGGCACTCACCAGACGATCAACCTGCCCAATACACTACCCACGCACCAGTATCTCAAAGACATGGAGCCGCTAGGCTGGATCCACACGCAGCCCAACGAGTTGCCCCAATTGTCGCCGCAGGACATCACGACGCATGCGAAGATCATGCAGGAGAACTCGAACTGGGATGGCGAAAAGACGATCGTGATCACGTGCTCCTTCACCCCCGGATCCTGCTCGCTTACGGCCTACAAACTGACGCCTTCGGGCTTCGAGTGGGGCTCCAAGAACACGGACAAGGGCAACAATCCCAAGGGCTATCTGCCGTCCCACTATGAACGCGTTCAGATGCTGCTGTCGAACAAGTTCCTCGGCTTCTTCATGGTGCCGGCGCAGAGCAGCTGGAACTACAACTTCATGGGCGTGCGCCACGATCCCAACATGAAGTACGAACTGCAGTTGGCCAACCCGAAGGAGTTCTACCACGAGCTTCACCGCACTTCGCACTTCCTGCTCTTCTCGAATCTCGAGGACGGCGGGGATGGCGCCGGCGCGGATCGGGAGGATGTGTACGCGTAGAAGGCGCGGGTCTGGAGTCTTAGGTTTTCGTTTTAGTGCATACAAACAATTTTATAAGCTTGTTTTCAAAATGCTAGCGTCTAGGTACATTTTGTAATAAAAACCATTCTTTTCCCAACAAGTCACATCGTTGCCATGGAATTCATTTCTCCGTCGACGATAATACGCTCAAAGTTCATAACATTCGTTAACGGTAAGTGTTCTGTATGTATGACTAATATTAATGCTAAATTTATGTTTGGTTCGGTTTTGGTTTCTGTTCCGGTTTCTAGGTACGTTTACGTTCGATTGATTGCTGACCCGCATTCAGGAGCATTTCCACAGCACTATGGCCAGGTTGCCAGCAAAGAACAGGTAGAGAATGTTCTCCGTTTCGTAGGATACCTCAAAGCCAAATCCCTCGCCCACAACCACATGCCAATAGATGCCGAACTTCTTGTCCATGTTTTCCTTGATGATTTTGGCAGCGTGCTGGTAATGGATATAAAGTAAAAGGTTAGGTTTATTAAAAAAATGTATTTGGTTGTTTGAATTCGATGGATATCTATTTGAACAAATGTTAATTTGATTCAAGTATATTTTATTAACGATTAAATAAAGATGTTAGCAAAACTAAAAAAGGCTGTTCATAAAACGAGGCCTCTTAAAAATTTAACAGCTTAAGAAGCTTATGAAGTAAAGTAAAATAGTTTTTTACATTTTTATGATTTTATAAACATTTTGTAAATGTAAGCCTATGCAATTTCAGCTTAAGTTAAAAAAAAGAAGTTATAACATGAGTTGTAATAATTTTCTCATAAGGCAATCCTCTTATGTGGTTTCTGCGTCAAGATGCTATAGATAGAACCCTTACCTCATAGTTTGATGAGTATTTCTCGCAGGCGGTGATGGACAGTTCAATGGCCTCTATTCTCATCTCTTCGGTCATGTCCGAGTGCTTAAAGCGGGAGCAATCAGTGGGGATTAATTCCGGGATGGATATCTATGCTTACCAACCTTCACCAGTGGGTAAACATGCACGATTTTCTTCTCGCCCTCCTTCCCGGCTTCCTCGTCCGCCATGTCTGCGATTCACCAACGACTGAAGGAAGGAATCGGAAAATAACTATCACGGAGCCAGGCTAATGTAATAAAAATCGAGTTAAATTCCTATTTACGTGTGACACACAAGTCAAGGTAAAGGAGGCGCCGTAGGCAGGTGAATGCTTATGAATTCTCCGTTTTTGCGCTATTGTCACGGCAGGATGGCTGCTATGGCAATTTGTTTTTGGGCACGGTTTTGGTTTCGATTGGCCTGCCAGCCTGTCAGGAGCGAGGTTGACTTGCAACTAACGATGGCACTGGATCCGCTGGCTCCGTGCTGACGGCAACTCCATTAACTGGCAACCACAGGCGGAGTTTCTGCGCCAAGGGAAAGAACATGTATGAGCCGGGGAGTTAATAGCTCTACACTCGGTGTGCGCTGCGATTGCGCCAAGTCTGCATGTTAAGGGACCTCTGCCCCCTGGCACCCTGCTTCCTGCATCCCCGGTTTATGTTGCAAACAAAAGCAATTTCCGTGCGGGTGCCACTGCGAGACAGACGACGCGGCGTCATCGTCATCATCTTGGCGGCCACCCCAATTTTTGCAACGATTTCTGCACTGAAAGTGGTCAACTGGGGGAGGATTGGCCAATGATGCTTGGAAAAACCCACCCCGCACCCCTGACGATGCACTCAAAATGTCAACAGATTGTCAGTTAACAAAACATGGGGAATGGTCTATTCAACAATCCAAAATGGAATTAATGACTTGAACAACATTAGAGGAATTACAAACTTAAATTTTCAGTTCCATGTGGGATAAAGTCAGCAAGTCTTGCTAAATATAAGCGAGAAATATGCATAAATATATCTAGCTTATAATTGAAGCTTAGTTTACGAAAATAAAAGCTAAGCTTATATATAGAGAACTACCAATTTCAAACAGAACTTTTGGTTTACCATGACTCAATTTTTTTTTAGAAATCGACAAATAATGATTTTGAAAAATAGTTTTAAATGCAGTACAGTTAAAGATAATTCTAGATTCTAGATCATTAGTTACGATTCCGGGTTCAAGTCCCAGCACTCCTCCTCTTGTTCCTGGTCAGTCAATACTACGTTTTGGGAAAGATGTTCAGACAACTCATATGGATCAGAGCCCTCTGATTCCTCACCGGAATCTTCAATTATAACACATTCATCATCTATTTTTATGTTATTCTCCTGCAGTAATTCCAGCAGGGCTTCTTTCGTAGCACCGACATGATGCAGACGATCCAATATATGTCCAATAGGCACTTTGTAGGTCTCCGGGTAGGAATCCAGCTCGTTCTCAGATATATTAGCCATTCTTTTGAAACGCTGAAGTTCAATTTGTACTTCGGTCCAGAGCTTTTCCTTCTCGGTGCGGGTATCCACATAAAATGGGAAGTCGACGGAATGAATTAACTTGTAAGGAGTGGATTCATCATCCAGTTTAGGTGTGGTAACCAAAGGATTCTCCAACTGCATCTCCAGAAAATCCTTGCGGACGAATAGCGCTATCTGTGAAACGTGACCCACGGATTCAAGGTCCCTGGGAGGATTACCCACTCCCATTAGGGAAAACATGTAGTTCGGATACTTCTCAACAATACCCAAGCACCAGGACTTGAACTCCTCCCGGGTCCATTCAAACTTGTGATCGTAATGGCGAAATCCATTTGGCAACAGGGGATTGAACCTCGTGAATATTACGTTATAATCAGAATTTGGTGTGCTAAAAACCACCAATTTAGGCTGCATAAAACCAAAAATATTGGAAGGAATTTTGGCCAAAACATCGTCGTATACGTGCTCGATTCTGAAATAAGTGGTATTATAAATATGAAACATTTATTTTTTTGTGCTTTTTCATTATTGTTGTATATAAATGGGTTTGGTTAGAAGATTTGCTTATTAAAAAAAAGAAATTCCATTACAAAATGTATTGTAAAGTTAGTATTAACATTGAAATGTCTGAATAGGACTTTATTGTATACAATAATAATACTTACAGCTCTAAAGCAATTACAGCATCTGTGTCTCGCAATTCTTCCGAAGAATCTGCCACACTTCCCTGTAGAATTTGAACTCTTAGAGGACCCTCACGCCGCCTTATATAATCAGAGACCAAAGGATCGACGCTAGTTGAGTTTTTCCTGAGCAAGGGCTCGTCAATATCCACCTGAAAATAAATGTTGTATTCAAAAATAGCCGCCACTTAATGGAACAAAATGGAAATGAAACTCCTTTGAACATATATTTTCATTTAAACATTTCCTTTTTATTTATTGTTATATAAAACTGTTTAAAAATAAGATTTTAAAGATATTTATATTTTACAAATTTGAATAGTGGGAAAATTTACATTTTTTAACTGAAACTTTAATTTTAGTTTAAATGTGAAATACTGTTTCCGTTCCAACACTAATAGCAATTTTAGTCATCTAGAGCTAAAATACGTTACATTAAATTTAAATTTAATCTAAGCGTTGTAATATATTAAGTCAATGTATATTAAATGTAATTGATGCATTAATTTATTTATGTATGAACATTGTTGATTTATCAATGTGAGTGTAAGCATTGTGAATAAATTTAAAGTATTATTTTAGATGGGACTTCAATTTTTAAGACTCCGAAAAAAACTAAGTTAATTAATAAAAATAAATACAAATTTGCATAAACAAATATTCCCCACATTGCTGGAATTTGGTCTCACTAAAAGGGCAGATTGTCAACTTAGCCTGCGGTCACACCAAAATAACCGTGCGCGTGTGTGTGTGCAGCAGTGCACAGGGAGAATGTGTAATTGTTACGAAAAATCAAATGGAAGCGGAATTATAGTGGCGAGCAGTCTGTGAAAGTGCAATCGTGCACCGTTGCACCAAGTAAAAAGTGTAGGCACCACAAATTATACCCCCAACCAATCAAAAACTACGAAAAACCCCCGAACACTTGGAACGGGTCAAAAGAAAACGAAGAAAAACAAGAAGAAGAAAACAGGGTAATACGTGAGAAAAATACATACTGAAAAATCAATTCGACTTTGGAGTCCAATAGCAAATGGTTAGCAAGTGAAAAGCGTTGAACTCGGTGGGGAAAACCCCTTGCAACTGAATAAATATGCCAGCATTTAGTTCTTTGTTTAATAAAGCCGGCCAGAAAATCGATTTTTTTCGGGGCCCTCGGTATGTTTGTATGTCCCAGTGTTTGTATATTTCCAGACATGGTGGTGCGTTCGCGTTTGTTTGTGTTTGTATTCGTGCCCCCGGACGCGCAGCAAGTTAGCCCGCTTTACAACACTAGAGAGAAAACAATAAAATGAAATACAAAATAAAATTGGCTAAAAAATAAAACAAACAAACAAACAAAAACAAGTCCCAATAGCACACTCAGCAAAACAGAAAAGACTTAACCGCCTAAAAACAATGGTGTGCACTCACGCGCCTAATATAATCAACAATCACGTTTTACAACACTACCAGGGAAAAAACAAAATAATTTACTGATCAAAGTTGGCTTGGGGCAAAAAACACAAATCCCAATAGCACAATAGCCGAAAACTTGAATTTGAATAAATAATAAGTGACTGTCGTTGGCCTGAACTCATACCTCAAAAATAGATAATTAATAAGCACTGTGTTTCTTCTTCTTTCGCCATCAGTTGAAAGAGAATCACCGTGGAAAGCGGAATCGCACAAAAACAAGACAACTTTTGCCTACATTTTAAGGCACACCGCCTGACCGAGAGACTGAGTCACAGAATCCAAGGGGAGCTGCCATCGAAAACGCCCAGAGATCATCCTCGCCAGCTGCCGAGATGGGCAAGCGCCTCCAACTGGAGCGCCCGACCTCGGATCGCAGCGCTCGCAAGCGAAAGCGTGCGGAGGTGAAGGACGCCGAAAAGTGCCAGCGCTTGAGCGGCGGCTCCAGCAGCGCCAATGGCTTCGAGTTCCACGAGAACGATGACGAGGAGTCCTGCTCCTCGGCTGGATCCGCTGGCGGCATGGATGTGGATCCACCTACACTATTGCAAACCCCGCAGGCACGCAGTTTGCTCTTAACAGGAGCCAGCATCGCCAGCGATCATAACAACTCCAGTGTGATGGAGTCACCACGCCCGGTTTACACGCTCCGACCCTCGGTGGTCAATGGAACCATTCTGAGGGATGTGCTCTCCAAGGCCTGGCGCTTGGGACGTCCCATAGGTAAGAACTTTCTGCAAAATAGTGTGGTTTCTGGTAGACTAAACCCCTCTTCTTCCTTCCCAGGCAAGGGCAACTTTGGCGAGATCTTCCTAGCCTCCGATGACACTGTGTGCCCAGCCACTTCGGAGACAGCCAAATACGTGGTCAAAATAGAGCCACATTCAAATGGACCTCTTTTCGTTGAGATTCACTGTCTGATCAACACATCCCGGAGCAAGGGTAAGCTTTGAATCATCACATCCCCCATCACATCTATACTCAAACACATCTTACAGATTCATCAGATGTCGGAGAAGATGCTGCCATCCTGCCAGCCCAACAGACGCATGCCCTCAGCAAGGGACCGCCCTCTGGGATACCCAGCTTTATTGCGTCGGGGACCCACTACTTTGGAGACGCTCGCTATCGCTTTCTGGTGCTGCCGCGATTCGATCGCGACCTGCATTCGCTGATTAAGAACTCAAGGGTGCAGCAAAAGTCACTCCTAGTGCTCGCTGTACACATACTCAATGTCCTAGAGAATCTACACGATAAGGGTTATTGTCATAATGACATCAAGGCCCAGAACCTAATGGTGTCCAAGTGCAAGTACCTCAGGAAGCAGTCAGTTCCCAAGGGCACCGGCTACGACGAGCACTACGAGGAGAAGCAGCAGACCACAGATAGTGGCAACAGCTCGGAGCAGGAGACCAACGACGATGACTATTTCCTGAAGAACGAGAAGTTCGCCCTGAAGCGGCTTCCGGATATTAAGCACGACGAAGACGAAGATGACGAGGACTTCGACGATGGCGCCACATCGAACAGCAACAACAGCAACAGCCTTGACATCTACCACACGCCCGTAAACAAAAAGCGAGCCGCTCGCAATGCAGTTCAATTCAGCGGCTCGAATCCAGTACGTTCGTGCCGTCGAGAGAAGCGCAACTCAATGTACGAGGAGATGGTCAAATCGCACTATCTGCGACCCACAAAGCGCATCAGTTACCGCGAGGAGTTCAATGAGGAAGGGTATCCCAAGGCGACAGAGGAAAACAGTGATGAATCGCCCGAATCGTCAGACAACGAGTCGGATGAGTTCATTCCGCCTTCGTGTAGCCGCTCGGGTAACAAAAGAGGAAGGAGCGCTCAGATGGCCAGTCCCAAGAAGTGCTCGGTTTCAACTAGGGCAACACGCCACCAGGAGAAGCTGAAGAAGGAGCCAAACGGTGACCACAAAGTGCGTAGCCGGGGCAACAAGCACTTGGACAGCCAACCAACTGAGTACAAGTTCCTGCCCACCGAGGAGGAGCATGTTTTCCTCATCGACTTTGGCTTGGCGTCCAAATACCAGGATCGCGGAGTCCATCGCCCTTTCATCATGGATCAGCGAAGGGCGCACGACGGCACGTTGGAGTTTACGTCACGCGACGCCCACCTGGGCGCCCATTCCCGACGAAGTGATCTGGAGTGCCTTGGCTATAACCTGCTGTACTGGTCCGAGGGCTATCTGCCCTGGAAGGACGTGGCCCAGCAACAGCAACAGGAGAAAGTGCACCGCGCCAAGGAGCTGTTTATGACGGATGTGCCCGAGATGCTGCGCCAGTTCTACGGCAAGCAAGTTCCTAAGTATCTGGGAGAGTTCCTGCTGCAGATCGGTCAGCTGGCCTATCAGGAGCGGCCCAACTACGAGCGCTACCGCAAAATCTTTAAGCGCGAATACCAGCGCTTGGGTCACGATCCCAGTCAAATGCGTCTAAGCAGCGAGGAGATCCTCCGCACCTGTGTCTCCTCCAAGGACGCGGTGGATGGCAGCAAGTGCGACATATTTGAGCTGAACAACAAAATAGCCACCAATGTGATGCGCAACTCGGCGCTGAGCACTCCGTTCCAGGAGCACTCGCTTACGAACCGCGTATCGCCCAAGAATCTGCGTTCCAAGTCAAATACGAAAACTACGAAAAAGAAGTTTTCGTGGGCGGAGGTGCTCTCACAGGATCCAGATCAAATAGCACGTGAACGGGCAGTAAAGGAGTTTGAGCGGGAGGAGTCCATATGTCCGCTGGAATCCCGTCTTCCAAGGCGCTACGACGGCAAGCCCACCTACGCGATACTGGCCATGGAGCAGAGTCGTCGCGAAAAGGGTTTGGTTGTCCAGGAGCATAACGACGAGGAGGAAGAAGAGGAGGAGGACGATGAAGAGGAGAACCAGGAGGCCCATGATGATGAGCAAGAGGAGGAGGAGGATGCAGATAGCGTAGAAGCCGAGGTAAGCTATAAGAATACAACAGATTTTGAGAGATTTGTCTTGCGGTTGACCAACATTTCTGTGATTTTTCAAAAGATCCATTCTCATAAGTGCATTTCTTTGATATAGGATGACTCGGATGGCGAAACGGAGGAGAGCGAGTGCTCGCATCATTCCCAGAAACCTGCGCGTGGCCGTCCCAGGGGCACCACCCGAAAACGAACAACCAGTAAGCAAGCCCAGGCGCAACAGAATCAGCCGCCGGTGAAGGCCAGTCGCGGAGTGGGTCGTCCGAGCAAGAACGGGGGCGTCGTAAGGTTCGCCACGGGAGCTGTGAGCAAGAACCGATCCACGCCGCTTTCGGCGGTGGCCAGTAACAAACGTGGCTGCGCCACACGCAAGGAGAACTCCACTCTGGCATCGGCCACCGGCGAAGGGGAACGGAAACTGAAGCCAAGCCGTACGCGCAGAGCTCTATATAAGACTGAACCCAAACACGGCGAGCACGATGCGGAGAACAACTCGAGCCTGCTGGAAGTGCAGAACCTGTACGGCGAATACGATGACGAGAACAACTACGGCAAGGGGCGCAGTGTCCACTCGTCCAGGCACTGCCGCAAGTGATTGCCAGATGACAGATTAGGAATAGAGACTAGGGACGATCAATAGAGGAAGTCGGAGAGCAGAGGATGAGGAACAACAGAACAGAACAGATAGGCAGAACAGAAGAAACCTAAATTGGCTTTCAAGTATTTTTAGTAGTAGTTAAGGTACGAACAGAACAGGACAGGACAGAACCTACTTCGAAGGTGTCGGCAGACGAGGCGTAGACTCGGGCTAGTGAGACCGACATGACGTGTAATTTTGGTTTTTATATATTAAATTAATAAGTTGTCTTAAGTTTTTTTGAGTGGCACTCTCAGCTCCATAGGGAAGATGTTGTTGAATTATCCATTATACCATGTAGTCCCCCAGTTGTAAGAGATGTTTGTGTGTTTAAACGGTGCGCAGGAGCAGTGCACCATTGGCCTTGATAGCAAATCCCTGATTTTTAAATTCTTATTTTATTCTTTGCGAGTTTTGTGTTAGTTTTGTTAGGTTATACTTCATATTATAGACCAGATGTACGACCCTTTCACCCACATTTCATGCAGCCAGGTACATACTCTCCTCAAAAAGTATTTAATATAACTAGATAATGGTTATTTCATAAAAATGATACAAGTCTAAGTTAGGATATGCGTGTATAAACAAGCAGCGGAAATAAATAAAATAAAATTGTATTTCCTTAACAATTAATCTAAACTATTGTTTCTTTTGTCTGAGGGGATTAAAATAAGTAGTCTTACCAGTACAATATTTTCTATTTTTTCTATGCGACGCATTAGCTGGAAAAAACGCATCTCGGCGCAGCCAAACTCAACCACCTTCTTAATCTGATTGGACCAGCGGGAGTCCTCCAGGATCTGGATGGCGGCACAGTATCTCTGCTCGTACACCGGTGGATCGAAAGTAATGCCGGTTTCAGTCATTTTTGTTAGGGTTTGGAATTCCCCGCAAGGAAACTTGTAGCAAAACATTTCCGCGTATTATTAGAGTGACCGGATTATACGAAATAAATCTTATTGCCAATAAACTGGTGAAAATGTCAAGAACTCGTGATTTGCATATCGATAGGTCTTGTATTTAAAAATTGGGCGGTAATCTTATGGCAGAGGAATCTCTAGAGGTCAAAGTCGCAACCCTAAATATGTTTTCATTGGGATGATTTCTTATTTTCTTCATTGGATCTAGGGTTCTTCTGGTTTTAAGATGCTAAAACAATAATACAGTAGTAAAACCAAAACTTCTAACACATGATATAACATAAACTCATCAGTTGAGGATTTTTATGATAGAAAGCTGTTGGTTCCAAAGGACTTAAGGAAAAAATGACTTTTCCAATATATATATTGACAGATTGTATTCCAATTTAAAAAGTTTCCTATTCCCTCTCACATTGTACTGGGAAGTTAACTTGAAATAACCAACTTTATGGAAATCAGTCTTGCTTTTGTGGTCAGGGTAATCACGCAACTTCCGGCATCCTTTCCGGGCGACCTTCGCTGCAGGTGCTCGACTCACATGCTCACTGCAACTGGGTGGTAAACCCCATTGGTGGGTTCCCAAGCTATCCACTCGACCGTCAAATTAGCAGACAGGTCTACAGGTCGTGGGAGCATTCCATATTGGTAATGGTTGGGTGGATAATGCCAACGTCAGCGGTCCGCATTTCACATGAGTAAGCTTTTTAACTTTTCAACCTGCTGCCATAATTTCCATGCTAATTGCCCTGTGTTTCAAATGGAAATTTACAAATCAATAAATTTTAGTGCCCGGCGCTGGTGGAGGTCCTTTCCCCACGGTTGCCATAATTATACACGTCGTCTGTTCTGTCGCCGTGGACGGGCTGTTGTTATTGTTTGCACTGAAAGACGTTGCCGGGGCTCTCATAAAGCCATCAAATGCGAAAAAACACTGCAAAAACTCTAGTAATAATATTGTTGGGAATTGGGTTCTATAAAATGATTGCAAAAAATATTATTAAAATAAGTTTGACAAACCCCTTTATTAAGTTTATCCAATTCTTAAAAAAAAAAGTTCTTTCCAACTAATTCATTTGAAATTTTGGTTTTTTTAAAAATATTTTTTAGAAAACTGTTTAATCAAAGTAATTTTAACAAAAAATCAAGAAAGTTTAGCTAAGTGATTTAAAAGCAAATCAAAGAAACGGCTTAGATCAAAAAGCTTAAGGATCAAAAATTCGTAATGTTTTCGAAACTTAGCAAGGAACTCAAAAACGCACTTAATTAATCGAACAAGTCCGTTAATTAGTATTGTAATTATTTCGGACATGTATTCCTAATTATTTTCTGTGCAAACGGGGGCCGGCAGACCGCACGGAAACCGAAAATCCAATAACGAAACCCAAGCCTTGCGTGCTCCACGAAGTCTTCGGCTTACCAGTTTAGTTTGCAATCGCCACCCGTGCCTTCAAGTTGCCCGCCGAACCATGGCCCTTTTCAGTCCGCATCAACTGTCGAATCCCCGGGCAAATGTCTTCATCCTGGTCAACTTGGGATGCGAGATGCTCTACGTGATCGACCAGCGTCTGAAAGCGCAGCAGATTGCACATGACAAGTCGGTTCAGGGTAAGGAATTCCGTGAAGTCAGAAACTACGACCACAGAATAATTTAAATATTTGAGCTGGAGGATGTCCTTGAATTTCGCAAATTGCCCTTTGTGTTTTGCAAAGGTTAAAGTGTACTTAATTCAAGTACAAGATACCTCTTTTGAGTTTCGAAACTTTTCAAAATTGTTCTTTAATAAGTAATTAAGCTGGACCCTTACATTATTCATTAATGATTTATGATGATGGAATTTTTAAAATTTTAAAATAATACTTAAATAAGCTCCTTTTCTGATGTTTGTTAGAAATTCTAAAAGTATGCTTTAAACTTAAAAAACTTATGAAAATTTGGGGTTTAAAACATACCTAAGATTAAAATGTTTGTATATTAATTATCCTACAGTGATTCATGATGTGACCACAGTACTGCTCGAACCAAAGTTTATAGACTCTCTGCTGAACGGATCGAAATCGAACAATGGCCAACTCCTGACTGCCGAGCATTGCAAGTTTATGCTCAATGACATAGCCACCTGCTCTTTGATGAGACTCGATGAGCAATCCATGTCCAAACTGTGGAACCTGATGACCATGGTTTACAAGTGGCAGTTGTTCGTGTCCCGCCATCACTACCACCTGCTGGAGATTACCTTTCGGCATTTGGATGCGGTCAACAGGTTGTATCCGGATGCCAAGCGGCACATGCTGATTGACTTTACGAAGAACACGCTTCTGGACTTTTGGAACTCCTGCGGGGAGGAGGCGCAGCTGTCCATCTACCAGACAAATCGGGCCTGGCTGCAATGCTTCAACACTAAGATATCGCTGCTGATTCGCATGGGCTTCCAGGCCATGGACGGGAGTTTCTTCAAGGAGGTGGATGAGGAGTACTTCACGGACTACGTCCAATCAGCCGGTGATAATATCTATGCGAAGAGTGCGGAGCAGCGGGAACGGCAGCAACGCGAGCCCAACAGCATGGATCAACTGGCCGCTCAGCTGAACATAGGTCCACCGCAAGGCGAAGATCTGCAGCCCATCAACGCCCGCCAGTTCCAGCAGCAGTTCGAGCAGACCTTCAACAATGTGCTTTTTGATGATCCAGCAGCCAGTTCCTCTGCCTGCGAGTTCGTCCAGCTGCAGCCCATGACCCCATCTTCGGAAAAGGAGGCGACGACAATGATGTCTCGGGGTGGGGGATCCTTGCTGAACAAGAATCTGCTCGACTTGTACAGCAAAATGCCTTAGAGTCAAAGCAGCTACGTTTAGAAAATATTGTATTTCTTGTTCAGTTGGTTTTTGTAAATGAATTATAAAAACGCCGTAAGTTGCATAGTTCTCGTTTGTTTTTGTTTTGTTTTCATCGAAGACATTGTTGTGATCAAAAAATAAATCAACGTTAGAATTTTGAGCTTGCGACTTATGTGAACAACTGTGAAATGTGTGGTGGGGGCGTGTGGTGCAGGGTAAAATAGAACCAAAGGTCGAAATGTACAATTACAAATATAAAAGTTAAGGGCGTGCTCCTCATCGCGCTGCTGCCTGCGCTACAGACTTATGGCAACAACATATATATAATCAATTACTCTTCTCATTTTGTGTGTCTCGCTTGTAATACGCTGCCTCCATTCAAAGTCAGCAAAGGAAAAGTTCGTCCGTGTTGGTGATTGTGGTGTTGGTTCTCCAGCGGCAGGATCCGTTTACATCTTCGCCTTGAGCGGCACTGCGTCCACCATGATATGCAGGGCCATCTTCAGGCACTCCTCCGCGGAGCTGATCTGCTCGCACGGATAAGCTGCGCCGTATTGCGTGAGAAAGTCGCAGTACTTCCGGTAGTTGCTCACCGCAAAGTCGTAGTTGTAGGCGCCCAGTGACTTCATGTCCGTGTCATCGGTCACCGACGGCACTGTCGCCTTGTGGGGCATTCGCCCGAAGGTGGGGTAGTCCAGCTCGCAGCCCTCGCACTTGCAGTCGAAGCGGTACTGCATGGACAGGTTGTCTAACCGCTGCTGCTTGCTGAAGATGGCGAAGTGAGCGCTGAAATATAGGATATTTATTAGTATTTATATCTATCTTCAGTAGGAGCGGGTGAGGGACAATCGAGTTATATTCTATTTTAATCAAATGTTACATAAGTTATACGAAATGAGATCGAAGAAGAAGAGGATATGTAATAGCCAATAAGTTACCATTAACTGTGTTTTAGGCCATGCTTGGATAATTATCAGTGAAATTAGTGTTAGGCTATAAATCTATATTAATTAGGCATACATAAAAGTCTTGCCCCATCTTCTTTGGCTTCCACTCACCCATAGTTGTCGTAGAGCACATTTCCCGCCTTAATTGGCCGCAGGACAAACAGATACGCCTTGGTACCCTCGTATATCCTTAGAGTATTGGGCGCACACGAGTGATTTAGCAGCGAGAGGAAGGCGTACGCCCCGGACGAGTGCGTCTGGTCGTCCTTGGTCTCATTGACTTGCTCCACCAGATCGATGCCGTGCATATTCGAGGGCGACGTCTGCAGGTGCCGGAACAGCAGATCCGTGAAGAAGTTCATGCCTTCCTCGCCGCCCAAGTGGTCCTTGAGCGGTGTGTATTCGATTATAAAGTGCTTGAGCACGGCACAGACCACGGAGCGCTGGAAGAGATCGGAGACGGAGCGCAGGTGCTGGTTGGTCACCAGTCCGTGGATGGCTCGATAATGCTCCTGCGGCGACAGCTGTCCGTAGTCCAGGTCGAAGGCGCACTTGTGCTGATTCTGCGGCTGCTCGCAGAACGCCATTAGCTCCTCGATGCTGGGATAGAGATCCAGGGCGGCCAGCGTGGTGCGCAGAGCGATGCCGTGGATCTTGTTGAACATGCGGTGCAGAAAGTCAATGATGGGGCACTCGAAGCGGTGATAGGTGGACATGGCCCGTTGCTTGCACTCCTCGGAGCAAAACATGACGGAGCAGCAGCTGTCGCAGGGTATAAGGGTCAGGTAGTTCTCTCGCTTACAGGTGCCACACCGGATGTACCGCATGGGCGGCAGTAGAGTGGAGCAGAAGGGCTGCTCCACGGCCACCAGATCACCAACGACCAGATCCCTATTGCTGACCACAAAGCGACCCTCGTCGGCGGATTCACGTAGCTCCAGGCAGTCGGCGATGTACGGCACCTGGGCGTGCGAGTCAAAGCTGAGCTTGAACTCGTAGGGCACCACATCCGGCGGCTGCTGATCGAGTAGCTGCTGGCAGTCCCGTTCCCGCTTGTCCAGTTTGTGGCTTAGTCTCGTCGGATAGTTGGCCTTCCTGGCCAGCTCGATATTGGCCAGGCACTCCCGATAGCGCTTCCATTCAAACAAAACCGCCGACCGGTTTGCATAGCCTATGGACAGGTGCTCCGAGTTAGGTTCGGCATAGCATATGCTTTTGTTGTACAGCTCCAGGGCCTGGAAGGGATTACAGGGGTTAGTTAACAAGTTAAGAGGGGATTATCTTTGGAGGAGGCTTTTACCTGAAAGTATTTCCGGTTCTTCAGCGAGAACTGCTCGTTTCCCAGCATCCGGAACTCGACGCTCCGCTTGTTGCACTTGTCCTCTCGAAGCGTTACGTTCA